CAAGGCAAAGAATATGCTTAATACTCCTATAATATATATTATATATCCAATACAATACTACAATATAATTCACACACACACACACATATTTAAAAGAAGAAACACATCCTGTTTATATATTTATATAATATTTATATAATTATATTATTACTATACATAATTTTAAGTTCCGGAGATTGCAGGATGTCTGTTTCTTTTATTTTATAGGCATATTGGGCGCATTCTCTGCCTTGAGTTATTGGTGAAATTAATAGAAGCAGAGTAAAAATAAAACATATGGACTTTAGATATATACGTGCACATATATATATAGTATGCAGGTTATGTATGTGAAGTACATATTTTGTTTTATTTTTACTCTGCTTCTATTAATTTCACCAATAAGTGGGGAACCAACCCAAAGTCACCCAGCTGGCTTTCATTCCTCAGGTGGGGATAGAACTCACTCTGTCCTGGTTTCTACCCTGGTGCCTTAACCACTAAACCAAACTCTCTTTGTAAAATTTGGAATCTGACTAATTAAAGTGGGGGTAAATAAGAAAAAGGCTCGGAGGTAGGATAAAAAGAATTTAACGGCACCCATAAAACAAAACATGTTGTGCTCAAACTGCTAAACCTTTTTTTGTGCCTTATGGGAATGGCGTGCTTCATGCCAGCTACAGGTTCCCCCAGTGTTAGAATACAAGCTGTGCCACCCCTATTTTAGCCTACCCCGATTCATTGTACAAACCAGTTGGAACGTGGGAGACATATTAATGAAAAGTTCAGGAAGAGTCACAGAGGTGGCCAGTACAGGTAACTCTTGACTTAAAACCATTTTGTTTGGTGACCATTCAAAGTTACAACAGCACTGAAAAAACTGACTCATGACCGTTTTTTCAAAATGATCAAAATTCAAACGTTTGGCAACTGGCATGTCGTTATGTCTGTTGCAGTGTCCCAGGGTCATGGGATCCCCTTTTGCAACCTTCTGACAAGCAAAGTCAATGGGGAAGCCAGATTCACTTAACATCCGTGTGACTATAACAACTGCAGTGATTCGCTTAACAACTGTGTCAAGAAAGGTAAAGTGGGAAGTTCACTTGGAACTGTCTCGCTTAGCAACAGAAATTTTGGGGCTCAATTGTCGTAAACGGAGGACTACCTGTGTCATGGATGAAGCCTTAATAGATGGGGAACTGTTCAGTTCTGTTTGTGTGTTGTGTCTTAGCATTTCAACCCTCCTGGTTGCAGAGGAAGTCCAGTAAAGGGAAGGAGAAGAAGCAGAAACGGCTGGAGGAACGGGCAGCCATGGATGCTGTCTGTGCCAAGGTTGATGCAGCAAATAAAGTGAGTTTTTCTCCTTTATTCCATGTCTTTATTATTATTTTACCCTGCAAAGTATGCCTTCCAGTTTCCAACGCCCTTGCGGCTATAAATAAAACACCTTGCATAAAAGCAAATTAATACAGTTAAAATCTGGGGAACGGTGCAGTGCAGTCGTGTCCAACCTTGGCCGCTTTAAGACTTGTGGGCTTCAACTCCCAGCATTCCCATTTGGTGGGAGAATTCTGGGAGTTGAAGTCCACAAGTCTTAAAATTTGCCAAAGTTGGACACCCTTGATACAATGGTGAGAAAAGCAACTCGACTTCAGATTCCACTCACCACCTCTTACTTACTTACTGAATGGCTTTACCACAATAATTGCATAATTTAGAAATGTGTGACGTGGGGAAAATAAGAAAGCTTTCCTGTGCAGGCATGACTTATTGAGAGTAGAATTTCCGTTGCTAAGCAAGGCAGCTATTAAGTGAGCCCTGCCTGATGTGATGACCTTCAGTGATATTATTTTTCTAATATAGGGAGTTGTCAACTTACGACCATTGATTCAGCGACTGTTCAGAGTTACAACGGTGCTGAAAGAAGGGAGTTACAAGTGGTCCTGAAAATTTCTGAGAAGCCATTTGGAGTAAGGAAGGAAAGTCTTAGGGAAGTCCTGGGTTTAAGGTGTTCTTTGAATCCAGCTGTTGCCTTGTAGTTTATGGTTGCCTGCTGGTATCACCAACCTGTCCAGACCTAATTCGAAAGGTTGGACTCCTGGGGATTGAAGCATTATTTTTTAAACAGTGTTTTGAAGGTGGGAGAAGACAGATCTGTGAGTTTATTTCTTGCCTGACATGAAGGAATCGGTGAGATCAAAGTCTTGTCCTCTAGGATGGTTCTGGTGTTTAGAGAAGAAATGGATTAAAGCCACTTGGACAATCTGATTGTTAGTAGATGCTGGTTAGAATAAAGATATAAATATAAATAAACTTTTTAATTTCAACAGAAGAAAATGCAAGCAGAAGAAAGGAAGTTCCACCCCACCCCAACCCCCCAAAATAACCTCTGTAAATTTAGTGTCTGGTCTATTCATGAACAAGACACTTTCCTATCACATCGAAGTTAAGGCAGTTTAGCTGATCAATTCCTGCAGAAAATGGGATCAGCTGAAGGTAGTCTACCTGCATCAGGCAGTCCTCAACTTATGGCCATTCATTTAGTGACCATTTGAACTTAAGACATCACTGAAATAAGTGACTTACGACTGATCTAGCCTCCCTGCAGTGACATGGTCAGAATTCAGGATCTTGGTAACTGGCATGGATTTAGGACGGTTGCCACGTCCCAGAATCACATGATCCCCATTTGGTGATCTTCCCAGATGACTTCTGACGAAGTCAACCTTGATAATATAACAAGAGGCCAGGCATTTTATTGCCTTGATCTTGATCCTTAATGTTCCAAAGCAAAAAGTTAGAAAGTCGTGCTTTTAATAGAGCAACCTGTGGAAGGGACCTTGGAGGTCTTTTAGTCCAACCCCCTGCTCAAGTAGGAGACCTCATGCCATTCTAGACAAATGGCTGTCCAGTCTCTCCTTGAAAACTTCCAGTGTTGGAGCTCCCACAACTTCCGAAGGCAATTTATTCCACAGATAAATTGTTATCACTGTCAGGAAATTTCTCCTTATTTCTAGGTTGGATCTCTCCTTGATTAGTTTTCCATCCATTGTTTCTTGTTTTGCCTTCAGGTGTTTTGGGAGACAGGTGGACCCCCTCTTCTTTGGGGCAGCCCCTCAGAGATAGAGCACTGCCTCAGTGTTTTGACATCAACGTTGTAGTTTGTCTAATGACTTCCTTTCTTTGTACAGCTGGGAGACCCCTTGGAAGCTTTTCCTGTGTTCAAGAAATACGACAGAAACGGGTGAGTGAAAGGTCCCTGTCCTTTTTTTGAGGGGAGAGATTCGAATTCAGGCCTCTCCCTCTGTGATAAAATAATGGCAAAGCCTCACTCTTGTCCTGCTTGGCATTTCCTATCTCACAACCCCCAGATTTAATTGCATTTCCACAAGTAATCCTAACCACATATTGTTCTTTCTTCCTTCCTTTTGCTCTCTTTTCGTTACAGGCTGAATGTTTCCATCGAGTGCAAACGCGTCTCCAGTTTGGAACCGGCGACTCTCGACTGGGCGTTTGAGCTGACCAAAACAAACATGCAGACCTTGTAAGTCCATAAGGCAGGGGTGGGATTCTACCAGTTCGCCCCTATTCACCAGAACGGGTTGTTAACATTCTAAGCAGTTCTGAGAACTGGTTGTTAGAAGAAATTACTGGGCTAATCCTGTAAGGAAGGCAGGAAGGAAACATTCTGGGGTTGCTTACAGAAACTGCCTCTCTGTTAACCCTTATTACATTCTTGGCAGGACTAGACTTCCGGTCTCAGGAACGTCTCTGGAGTTTTTTTCCCCTCCTTTGCTGGCACTTTGCTTGCGTGGAGTGACCATTCAAATTTACAATGGCACAGAAAAAGTGACTTATGACCATTTTTCACACTTACGACTGTTGCAGCATCCCCAACAGTCATGAGAGGCCAGGCGAGGAGATGCATGCCTCGATGTGAGTGATATTGAGTTGGCCACGCCCAGCCAATAACATGACCACCAAGCCACGCCCACCACCTAAGGCACGCCCACAGAACCAGTTGTTAAAAAATTTGAATCCCACCCCTGCCATAAGGGTACCCAGAGATAATGGGAGGCTGATGGGCAGCCATGACCAGCAATTGTGGTATGAGCAAAAAGGTAGTTCAATCTCACACTTCTGGTTCAAGGGAGAGGAAAAAAATGCTCAAAAGTACAAGGTGGACCTTGGCTTAACAGCAGCTTGTTTAATGACTGTTCTACGTTACCACAGCACTGGAAAAGTGACTTACAAGTAACTTAAAACGGTTATGACCATTACAGCATCCCCATGGTCATGTGATTTACATTCAACCGCTTGGCAACTGACTTGAATTTACGACGGTTGCAGTGTCCCAAGGTCACGTGATCCCCTCTTGCGACCTTCTGACGAGCAAAGTCAACAAGGGAAGCCAGATTCACTTAACAACCCTGTTCCTAACTTCACAACTTCAGGGATTCACTTAACAATTGTGGCAAGAAAGGCCATAAAATGGGGTAAAGTTCACTTAGCAGCTGTCTCGCTTCACAACAGAAAGGTTGGGCTCCCTTGTGGTTATAAGTCGAGGACGACCTGTGCAAGGATCCGTGGTATGTCCTTTTTCAGTGTTGTAACTTTGAGCGGTCAGTGAACATAAATGGTTGTCAGTCAAGGATTACCTGTAGTGTCTACATGGACACCAAGAATCAGAGGCGCTTCCGAAAAGGATCACTACACAAGGATTCCCAGCTCCCCTGAATAGAAGGTGGTCGATCCCATCCTGAAGGACATTCTCGTTTCTCTTTTTTTTTTCTATCCTCCTTCAAAGGTATGAGCAGAGCGAGTGGGGTTGGAAAGACCGGGAAAAACGGGACGAAATGACCGACGACCGGGCTTGGTACTTAATCGCTTTGGAAAACGGCTCCCTCCCTGTGGCATTCTCACACTTCCGCTTTGACGTCGAATATGGAGAGGAGGTTCTCTATTGGTAGGGCTTCCCCCTTGGGATTTCAGCTACTGGATTGCCGGCTTCATCAGGCTGGAACGTCCGAAAATGTGGGACGGGATGAAATAGAATGGAATGGGAGGAGGATTAATAGAATGGAGTGGAATGGAATAGAAAATATGGAATGAAATGGGAAAGGAACGGAATAAGAATTAATAGAATAAGAGTTGATAGAATAAAAATTAATGGAATGGAATAAGAATTAATGGAATGGAATAGAAAAATGGAACAGAATAAAAATGAACAATAATAGGATAGTAATAGAATAGAATTAATAGAATAGAATGGAATAGAAAGTACAGAATAGAACATATGGAAAGGAATGGCATGGAATAGAATGCAGAAAAAATGCAGAGTAGAACATAACAGCAGTAGCACTTAGACTTATATACCGCTTCCCAGTGCCTTTACGGCCCCTCTCTAAGCGGTTTACAGAGTCAGTCTGTTGCCTTAACAATCTGGCTCCTCATTTTAACGACCTCAGAGGGATGGAAGGTTTGAGTCAACCTTGAGCCCGTTAGGATCGAACTCCAGGCTGTGGGCAGAGTTGGCCTGCAATACTGCATTCTAACCACTGCGCCACCAAGGCTCTATGATGGAAAGGAGAATTTGTGCCTGCAAAACACAACAAACCCAAAAATCTGTGCTGTGTGCCAACCATGCCCTTTTAACGTGACCCCTAAGTGCGTTTCACATTACCCCCATATTTGGCACTTCGTCAGTTATTTTCATCTCTATTTGGTCTTCTTGTTTCAAGCTTATCAGTCACTGGATCTCCAAGCAAGCTTTCAGTATTTATTTAGATGTTTAAATAGTTGCAAGCACTGATTTCAAATTGAAACAAATGTTTTATGGGTTGTTGTATTTTTTCCTTGATTGAAAGATGTTCCCTTCTCCTAAACAGGGGCGAAGTCTTTGGAAGGTGTTTCCAAATTCGACATTTTGTACTTCAAATGGCAATAACAAAGATCTTAGATGGCACTGCTGGGATGTTGATATTTGCTTACGTATTTCTCTCTTTCTTTGCTCTAGTTATGAAATACAGCTGGAAAGCCGAGCAAGAAGGAGAGGCCTTGGCAAGTTTCTCATCCAGATCCTGCAGCTCGTGGCAAATAGGTAAGGTTGTGCTTCCCCATAGTTTCTACAAATCACCCCAGTCTCCCTGCGGATTTTACTCTGTTAGTAGTTGCTGATTGTAAAAAGCCAGCGCTGTCCAAAGACATATTCCACGGTGATGTGGCCATCATGACGTCTTTGAGTGCTGTGACCTTCCTGCCAAAGTGGTACCTATTTATCCACTTGCATTTGCATGCTTTCAACCTGCTGGGTTGGCAGGAGCTGAAGCTAAGATGGGAACTCGCCCCGTCACAAAGTGCTCGGGTCTCGTACCTGGGCTGTTGGTTTTCCAGTTGACAAGTCCAGCGTCTTAACTGTTGAGCCACACAAGCCAATCTCTTTGGGGCAAACTTTATTGAAGTTTAACAAGACTAACTCTCCACATTAAAACCTGTGATATTCCAACCTGAATGTTACAGTTTTCACTTAGCCATGAGCGGGCTCAATATATCTCTTAATTTATTCTTTCCTAAACTAACACGATTGATGTACTGATAAGGAAATACAACACTGCATTTTCTACAGCAGGAGTAGAGCCACAATCCACAAGCAAAACCAGGCACACTTAACACATGTCAAATATAAGAGAACACAAGATGGAAGCAGCCTTTAACACAACAGCTTCATTCCTGGTTCCTTCAAAGTGCTTGGATTTTAAAACAGGATTTTGACTTCTACTTAAGCAGTTAGTATTGGATTAGATTTGTTAAGATTTGCAGTGCTGTGGGAATCAAAATTCAGTGGCAATAATGCTTCACGTGCCACATGGAAAGAGAATAGGATCATTCTTGGATAAATACACCGAAGTGCGTTTAATTTCTCCTTTTGTACAGAACTAGAAATTAATCCAAAAGATGAAGCTTCTTAGGAACTATACTGCCTTTTTTTTTTTTTTTTTGGCTTTTCCTTCCCGTTTTTCTCTCATCCTTTTCTGATTTTGGCTCTCCCTGACTTTTCTTAGCACACAGATGAAGAAGGTCATGTTAACAGTCTTCAAACATAACCACGGAGCCAATCAGTTCTTCAGAGAAGCTTTACAGTAAGTAAAAGATTTGACTTAATTGTTATCTTTTTCCAAGGCAGGAAGAACAAGGGGATTGCTGGATAATTGGGGTTTTTAAAAAAACCACCGTTTTCACACATCGCCTCCTTGCTTAGATCAGAGCGTTCACCCTGTTAAAATTATTTTGACCAAACTGTTTCTAACATCTATTGATAAAACACCAGCTGGAAGGTCTATGTCTAGGCCTGCTTTTTTAAAAATAAATAAATAAATTGTCGTGACCCTTTAGATTTGAAATAGACGATACCTCACCGAGCATGTCTGGCTGCTGTGGGGAAGACTGCTCCTACGAAATCCTCAGCCGGAGGACCAAATTTGGCGAGAGCCAGCAGGCTCACCTGGGCACTCCGTGTGGGGGCTGCTGCCATTGAGGTGCTCCTTCGCGCCCTCCGAAATAACCCATCGCCCGCCCTCCAACGTCAGACGCGTGCCTTCCTCGTGGCTTCTCTTGACTGTCCCCCCGGCCTCTCCACATTCTTGCTGCATCCTCAAGTCAAGGAAGACAGAACTCCTGGGTCACATCCCGGATCCCGGGAACCGAGATCTTCCTCCCTATAGGAGGCCCTTTCAGTCAAAGCCGAGCCGTACTTTTAGGCCCGGTCTTGCTTCCCTGCAGCCTGGAACTGAAGGTGGGAATCTTGCGAGGGGTTTTTCTTTTCCCTTCTTTTTCTTTTTCCATGGAAAATTGATGGGCTCCCTTTCAAAAGGCGTTGACAAGAATGGCGAGCCCGTTGTCTGTGGATGAAGGATAGACTTTGGGGGTGGCATATCAAGGCGACTTTTGAGATGGTTCTGTGTTCCTTCTGGGGCTGTTTCCCACTTTTTGTGTCTGAATCATTTGCAACACTGGGTTGATAGTTTTGTCGGAGAACCCACAGCAGGTTTTTAAAAAGAATGTACTTCCTCTAAACCCATTACTGGGAAGATCTTCTTTAGGTGAGTATATCAAAGCAACTCTGGGCTTTATAGGAGGAGGAGGAGGAGGGATCCACACAGATTTTTAGAACAGGATCCTAAGTATAACATGGTGCCTCTGGTTCTACTTCCCTCCTTGTGTGTTGGAGAGCACTATTGCATGATTTCTTCTGAGCCAGCTGTGCTAGAAGCAACTTGGAGCGGTTTTGTTGTCTGAAAGTTCCCAGTAGAAGCAGGTGTGCAAGAGCAAATCATTCTAGTTCACTAGGAGTGTGTCCTGATTGTTCAGGAGATCCTCTAGCCCGTTGGTTTCGGAACTAAAAACTCTCAGCATACACGACGATCCCATAAATATACGTTGGTTTAATCAACATCTTGAATTTCTTTTTAGACTTCTCCACTGATGGATTTCTCTCCCCCTCCCCTCCCAAAAAAGGGGGAAAGGTGATTGAGCATGTTGAGTGTGGCATGCAAAATACTTTACATTTTGAAGGTGAAACAATACTTTTGTATATCTAGTGGGTGTTGCCTCTTTTTTATTTTTTTTTGCATTTTGGGGTAGTTTTGTTTCACAGAACAAATTTCGGAATAACTACTCTTATAAAACCAGCAACGTTTGCTGGAATAAAAGGGAACAACCTGTGTTTTTTTTTTTTTTAATGAAAAGGGTCAACTGGAATGGGGGGAGGGGGTGCAGTTTGTCTGTTTTTCAAAATAAACATTCTGTTTGATCTCCAGTGGGTTGTTCCTTTGCGATGCATTCTGTGGCTCTTTTTAAAAGAGTGCCGTGGTGCTGTTTTCCCTAAGCATTATAGTCCAGGGTTGTTGTTTTTTTTTGTATTGAACAATTGGATAAGTTCCTCTCTCTCCCATCTGAATACTTTTCTGTGCACCACTATAAAAAACCAAATGAAAAACCACCAATTCTGTTCTTTGGTTCAGGTGTTTTCATTCCTTCTTGTTCTATTGGATGCTGGCTCTCACCCTCCCAAGACCTGTTTAAAAAACGGGTATCTGAGTTTGCAAATGCAAGTGAGATGCAAGCCGGAAAAAAAAATGGAAGCGATCCCTTTGTATGTCGAAAATAAGCTTTCGGTGTGGTAACTCTAAGCCTTTTCTTTCTGAATTCTGGGAGTCCACACATACGCTCACAGGGGAATTCTGGGAGTTGGAAGTCCAGACCTCTTCCAAGTAGCCATGGTTGAGAGACATTGGCTTAGCAGATGCGGTTGTGGAGAGCAGGGCCCTCGTTGAATCAACGGTTTACATCCAAAGACGGTTTAATTGCTGGCAGGATGGCCCAGGAAGCATGGCTGCTCTTGCCACCTGAGACCTGCCAGAATAAGCTAAAAATAGAAACGTTGAGCTAAGGAGAGGTTGACAAGCAGCCAGCATACTATTTTTCCCTGGCAATTGGGTAAGCCAGCCAGGTGATAACGTAATGCCTCACGGTGCGTGGTCCAGAAAATTGGGCTAATTGCACAAACAATGGTTAGTTTCACTAGGGGCAGATGTATCATGCAAACACAGCTGCGGTTTTATCTTCTGCGCCGGCAGCTTCCTTTGTCTGGAAGCTGAAATGTATCTGCCAGAGATCCCACCTTGCGGCTCAGCTGACAAAAAAAAAGGCCAGCTTCTTGGCACCTCTAAGGCTTGGCCAGTCTTGCTCCCTGCCAGTAATTGGACTCAACATTTCACCATCTTGTTCCCTGCCCCTGGCTGTCAAAAACAATCTTTTTAAAAAAAAAACACAGTCCCTGAATACTTTTATTAATTACCTTGTCTCATCCCAGCAGGGAGTGAACAGCCTTCCTAGAGATAATACTTGATAATAAATGGATATAAGCAATAAAAGCCGAAGATAAGGATCAGTTAAGAGCCTTGCAGAAATAAATGTTGGTTCTTATCTGATTATCTGAGAGTATTCTGCTGAGACTTCTGTTCAAAGACAGACAGACACACACACACACACACACACACACACACACACACTGAACAAGCCAGGTTATCTGAGAAGGCTTGGCAAAGGAGCATTTATAGGTCTGATAGCTTATTCTCCGCCACCCAAAGGTTAAGAACGATGTTCAATCAATTGAATTGAATGACTGCTGTAAACTAGTGGGCTTCCTCCAATTTGTGGCCTAGTGGTTAAAGCACCAGGCTACAAAGCTAGTCCCACCTTAGGCATAAAAGCCAGCTGGATGACTTTGGGCCAATCACCAGGAGACGGTGAGTTCTAGTTCCGCCTTAGGCATGGAAGCCGGCTGGTGACTTTGGGCCAATCCTTCTCCCAGCCCCATTTGCCTTACAGGGTTGTTGGGAGCGGGGTAAAAAGTAGGAAGATTGTGAGGTTTGCCATTGTTGAGTTACTTGTAAAAATAATAAAGGCAGGATATAAATTATATATAGGGGCTCAGAGACTAAGACACTGAGCTTGTTGATCAGAAAGGTCGACAGGTTGGCAGTTCGAATCCCGAGCGCCGCGTAACGGAGCGAGCTCCTGTTCCTTGTCCCAGCTTCTGCCAACCTAGCAGTTCGAAAGCATGTCAAAAATGCAAGTAGAAAAATAGGGACCGCTTTGGTCACAGCGTTCCGTGCGCCTTCGGCTTTTAGTCCTGCCGGCCACATGACCACGGAGACGTCTTTGGACAGCGCTGGCTCCTCTTCGGCTTTGTAACGGAGATGAGCAGCGCCCCCTAGAGCCGGAAACAACCAACATGGATGTGCGAGGGGAGCCCTTTACCTTTATAAATTATATAGACTCTTCCAAAGTTCCCATCAAGTGTGGCTGTCTCCACCAGCAAGGAACCAAAACAAATGCGTCGTTTCATGCACTGATGTTTGTTTGCACCTTGTTGCCAACTCCAAGGTGTAACCTTCTGCTGGATAGAAAGTCAACCCCGTCCTCTTCTGGTTAAAGGTTGCCTATCCAAGACAACCCACCACCCTTGCTTGCCTTCCTTTCTCTTTCAAAAGTGCCGGTTTCTTTAGCAGTCGACGCAACTTGGGATGAAAAATTTTGGGCAGTCTCCAAGGAGGCAGGCTAACCTTTCTGCTACTGGCATGTCTTAGGCTGGTGTATTTCTCATAATTGCGGCCCCGGCTGGCAGGGATTCCCTCCCTTGTCACTTGGATAAGTGACAGTCTCCTTTTTGGAAGCAAAGCCAAACAGAATGTTGTCTGTCCTATATACTCTTGGCTGCCTTTGAAAGACGTCGGGAAGGAGGGGATGCTGGCTGAACGGAGAGGGGAAACTGCAGTGGAAGCGGATTGGAAAACCTGTCCAGGTGGTCCTCGACTTACGGCTGTCAGCTTTGGAAGCCATATGCCAAACGCTGACAACGGCCACAATTGTGCCCAACATTGCCATGGCTAAGCAAAAGAGTTATTAAGTGAGTTCACCCCGTTTTACAACCTTGGCATGGTTAAGGGAATCATTGCAGTTCTGACCTTAGTGACCCAGTTGTTAAGTGAGTCTGGCTTCTGCATTGACCACACAAAGGGTGATCAGTGACCTCAGGACTCTGCAGCCATCATAAATACGAGTTAGTTGCCCCGCATCTGAGTTTGGATTAGGTGACCACTGGGATGCTGCAATGGGTTGTAAGAGTGAAAAGTGGTCACGTCACTTTTTCCAGGTGCCATTGTACTTCAAACGGTCCCTAAATGAACAGTTGAAAGTCAAAGGAGACCTGTATGTGCCTTTTCCAACAACCACCTGCGTGTTTGTGTACATTGAAAGATGAGGATTGGATCCATCTTCAATGTTAATGGCTAGAAATTGTTCGGATGTCTGTTTGCAAACCTCCCACAACTGTCAAAGAAAAGAAACTTCATCGTTTTGTAAAATTCCCCCCCAATTCCAGAAGAAAATAATTCAAGCCGACATGAGCACGTTCATCATCCTCTCAAAGGGGTATAAATTCAGACGCGATATATATATTTTGTTAAAAATCTGAAAAAGTGCCCCAAGGACTTCTTTTGACACGGTTTGTGAATCCAGGCGGTGCATTAGAGGTTTGCTAGCGGCTAGAGCGGCCTTACTCTATGGGTACTTGATCCAAGTGTAGGTCGCCTGCTATCCTTGCCTCGCCGGAAGTACGTTCTACACATGGCTGGTTCTCTATGGAATCTTAGCATTGGCCAATGGAGGAACTGCAACTCTTGAGCGGAAGTGCCGTCTTTCCTTAGCTTGCTCTATGGTGTGCCGGCTGGAGCGGCTTCTGGTTTAATCTTCCGGCTTTGGCCGTGGAGGATAGAAAGCCGCTTCTCGCAAGAGCGGCGTCGGTTCAAGGAGAGACCGAGGACGGAGACTTCAGGGCCAGCCGCTCCCATCCTTGAGCCCTCCAGGGCCAAGGGGTGTAGACATGTCGCAGGTAGCCCTCCTGGCAGAGGATGATGGGGTTTGTAGTCCTGCACGACTGAAGGGGAGCTTGGACGAGTCTCTTGGGGGGAACTAAGTGGAGAAGGGAGGGTGGGGGTTGAAAAGGGTGTGTGTGGGGGGGGGGGGGGAATTGGGCCAGGGGTCGCCCTGAGAAGGGAGTCATGAAATCCGGCAGGTCCCCCAGTGGAGGATGAGGCAGGTGGTGCAATTCTCCCATTAATATATTAATACCTTATTCAAGAGTAATTCACTCTTAATTAAAGATGTTTGGAGGATAAATATCTGGACAGAGACAATTGGAGGTAAATAGATGAAAATATATAAACTCTATACAGCTAAGATCCAAGATAATAACCCGAGTGTAGGTTCAGCGATAAGCATCTATTATGGAATAATTATTTTGCAGTGTTTCCAAATAATTGTGAACAAGCAATATTGTAAAATTGGGCTCATTGCTTCGCTTTTAGTGATGCCTGGATATGTGAGCTGCCTTTATTTTTTGAAGAGTGTTCAAGTCACTGGGTCTACAATAAAATCTCTGGATTGGCAAAATGTTCATAAATTAATATAGTTTGCTTAAATGTGTTAACAAATCTAAGCAAACTAATGGTTCTTATAGACTGAATGTACAGCGCAGTATTGATTGGGTTTATTTTAATGATGGTTTTGTGGCTAAACCATATTTGGTTAGTTATCACACAATGTGGTATAAACCATGTTTTCAAACCTTTATAGTTAAATGGACATATGAGATTAAGCCAGAAATAAACTGCAATCTG